AAAATCACTTGTCTCAAATCCTGTCCATCAGAAAGAGCTGGTATGGGTGGCTAACATTAACCGTGGCTAATTATCTATCATATCCAAGCTATGAAAAAGTTAGTTAATGAGAAAAAAACCTATTCATGAGACCGGCTCAACTGTGCATCTGAGCCAGGCTGTTGGCTGATAATTCACCCTTAATTTACCTGTCTTTCAGCGCTGGTAGAGCTGCAGTGCTACTAGTCATGGTAGAAGTGTTGGCCAAGGCTGGTCCAGGCATTTTTACCCTTGTGTTTTCATACCACTAGAAAAATACTTGGATTCTGGGTGCTTCCGCCAGTGCTCTGCCTGGCGCAGGTGAGAAAATACAGTGCGTGTGCTAATGTGCACACAACCTGCAGCTCTGCTCCAGCAAGTTATTGTGCAGACACACTCCCGAGCGTGCAGGGAGCCCCACTAATTTCCGTAGTGCATTCTGGGATCGACTCATGCTGACCATCTTGCAGGCGGCTTGGACTTTGATTCTAGGTCATGTGTACAGCAATCCCTACAGCCACAGATCTGCAAGACATGCCGGTGTCAATGATCATCCTGATTTCTTTAGGAACTTAATTTCAGAAACACCCAAGTTCACTTATTTTTTAAATAAACAAAACCTTGAATTTGGTTGTTCATTAATGCCACTTACAGCACATAAAATGTATCGGGATAATTCCTGTGCTCATTCATTTGAGAGGAGCAGAAGTTGTATAATCCTCCTTGGTCACACGAATTATCCAGAAGAGAGTCTCTTTCAAATGTAGTCGATGTGCCGCTTTGGATAATGCTTCCCATTTTTCTAACCAACACAGAATTACATTTCTCAGCTAGATTTTCTAATGCAAAAGTCTGGCTGGCATGTTTGTTTAGACAGCGAAACAAACCTCAAGAGACCAGATTGTAGGACAAACATGTTCTTAAATATTTTACATTCAAAACAGCAAAAGCATTTGAAAAGAACAGTGGAAATGAGTGTTTAACTACGTTTATGCTTTGTGTATGGCAACAAAAAAAACCGGCATGCCAGTTATCATTTACTTTAGGAAATGTTCTGATAGTCACAGATTCAACAGTGCCCACACATATACAAAGAAAAAGCAATAGTGGGGGAAAAAATGCTAAATTGTTGCTAAGGTTATTTGTTAGTATTTCCCAAATCTGACACAGTCTGTGTAGGGCTTAATAGTATTATCAGCTTTCAACACATCTTTCTATTTCAGTTTTCATGTATACCGGAGTTTGCATATCCATGTTGAGCAGAGTATAGGAAAATAGGCCACAGAGAAGTAGGGCTAGAAGGAACCTCAGAAAGTCATCTAGACCAAGCCCCTCACACCCAAAAGGCCCAGGATTTGGGCTCACTTTGAACTCAAGGTATGAACCTCCTTGGCTGAAACATCCTAAAATGTTTTCTGGCCTGTTCCTACCAGGCGTAGTACCGGAAACATTAAAAACACCCTTTAACTTGCCACAGGTGAAGCAGGGAGACAAGGGCACTAGGAAAGCACTAACCCAAAGTTACCTTTAATAGCGCCCTGAGCAGCTTTACTGTACCTTAACAGGGTGCGTTCTTACCAGGCAATAAACACACCGCTATTTTTTGTCACTTTTAAGAAACAACCCCTCTAAATTTCTAACATCTCTTTATAAGCTGTCTCACTGCAACTCAGTCCATCTCCCATTTTCTTCTTTTAGTGGCCGGTAGAGGGTGCTGTTAAACTTGGCAATGATTTCACTTCTCAAAGGTCAACCAAACCCAGTAATAAACCTAGTCCTGGTCCCTCCCTCACACCCAAAAGGCCCAGGATTCGGGCTCACATTGAACTCCTACCCTCCTGCTCATCTATCAGATCAGCTAAGAGGACAGTCTTATTTTACTGCCAATTTAAATCATCTCACTTTATCTTAAAACAGATAACAGGGATCAGAAGTTATGCAGCTGCTGCCAAGCCTTGAGACAAACGCACAATAAGCGTGTGCTGAAGCCTCTGGACAAGAGGAACACTGCTGAGACCTTGCAACTGGAATAGAAACTCAGGCCTTTGGACCTGATCATGCCCCTCTGGTTCTGGCTCTGGGCTGGATTTTAATTTGAGGAGCCTGCCTTTAAGATCCAGTGCGATTACAACCTCATGATATTGGGATTCTCATACAAACAGCTTTTCTCGTGAGCCAGCTGGCCACTATAGTGCAACCTCATATAACATTGCTGAGTTTGCCTTGTCTTGTCCTGAAATCTCACAAACGTCGCAAAGTGAGAACCCAGCTCTACGCCCAAGGTCAGGCTTTTGCCTCAGCTCCTCTGCCCCATCTGAAATGCTGACCCAAACCTAATCCAGAGGCAAGTACCTCCAGCTTGGCTTCACTTTAATGCCAAATCACAGTCCCTATTAGGATGCCCAGAAGGAATTTCTGAGTTGTTATCCCAAAGGTACAGCTTCCAGTATTTCAAAGCCCTCTTCCCCATTGCTCTCTGCAAATTTTCTCAGTCTCCTAATTCACTGTGTTAGCAATGTAGTGCCTCTGAAATGAAGCAAACCAGAAAACTGCAATGGCAGGGAAATGAATGGAGAAGGAAAAAGGCAGGTGAAGGGGGACCTGCTGCTCTTCAGCAATGATCCCTACTGTATTGTGTTTTAATGAGCAACACAAGCTGACTCTAAAGTGAGACTTGCACAACTCAGCTACCCCATAAAAAGGTACTCATAAGTGTAATACTTTTCAGGTGAAAGATGACTGCTACCAAGTTATTAGCAGTGATAGGAAAATGAGACACACAAAAGCAAAAGGGCTCCTAATGCCTGAATGTGGAAAATGGAAGGAGGGACACATTATATACTGCAGCCTCCACCAGCTAGTATTTAAAACATCAAACAAACTTCAGCACACAGCTTTTGCTTATTTGTAGCTCTCATTCTTGGCTCGGGCTCATCTGTTAGGGTAGACTTTGGCAGTTTAAAATATCAGGCAATAAACTTCTCTTACTTGCATTTTACCTCCATGTGAACTTTGTGGGAAGAGTTAACCGTTATGATTGCCACATATTCCAGACTGGCCATGTGCAGAATCAGGAGATGACAATTGTATTGAGTGATTCTTACAAGTGAGGGTTAATGCATATAGAAATGTATAAATGGTCAGCCACCTATTTTAAAGAAAAAATGTATATGTACCAGTATTAAAAAACGAATATGGTAAGGGATGCTGCATGAAGTCAAAACGATCCCCTCCACCGATATCCACGTGTAGCAGTGCTATAGTTGCAATATTCCTTAGCTGGCAGGTATAGTTTGTCTTACAGTTGAGAAAACTCAGCTTTATGAGTCTTACAAAGTCTTGGGAAACTTTTAAACCTTATCCTAAATCCTGATGGGACAGGATAGGTAAGTGGGATAGGTAAAAGACTGACAACTCTAATTAGGTCTTTATTGTTTGTTTATAACTATGAGAGTAGCCAAGTATTGGAACATGCTACCTAGAGAAATTGTGGAAACCTCCATCCTTGGAAGTTTTCAAGAGTACATTAGACAGACACTTAGCTGTCAGGGATAATCCTGCGTTGAGCAGGGGCTGGACTAGAGGACTTGTGAGGTCCCTTCCAGCCCTACTTTCATATGAACCCAGTTCACTGAGTGGAGATCCAGTCCCACTTAAGACCTTTCTGCTCTACTCGGTTTTCTAATTTTTGTTCTTATTACTCTTCATCTTTCCCAGTGTCTGAGATACTAAGAATCAGGTGCTTGGTTTGGTCCATCACCCAAAGATTGAAGAGGTGATGCCTCTTCAAACATTTGAACCTAAGATACATTTCACTCAGTGCTATGTCTCTTCTAAAATACTAAAAGGAATAAAATTATCTTTCTAAGCATGATCATACTGCATCTGATGAATATATTCAGTATCACAGTTTAAGAAATACCTCCACATAACATGGACAGTAAGATGGATCTATTAAATAAACTGATTCTTTAAGAACATAGGTATGTATATACACCAGAATAGATTATAAATTACATTTTAACTTCATTAAAATCAAAGGCAAAACTCCCTTTGACTTCAATCATGCCAGAATTTTACCTTCTGGGTTTTTCTGGGCACGGATAGGGGGGAGAAGAGGGAGACAGAATATGTTTATCACTTATTCTTAATTACTTTAAGGAGGGGATCTAAAAAGAATTACTGAATATAGAAAATGAGAGAGGTTATACTGCTCACTTGGGTCCCAATTCCAGAAAGTATTTATGCATTCATTCATATTCTACAAAGCACTTAAATCCTTGCTTAACTTAAGCATGTGCTCAAGTTTCAATGAAAATGTCCCCACTCTTTGGTATTTAATACTTTGTTAATATGAACGGAAAAACTTACTCTGAACTATAGTTATAAATTGAGAGACTGACCTTCTGCTTAATATCCTTAAAGCTAACAGGTCATTTTTCTCCTAATGACTGTTCAGAACTCCTATTACCATTATATGAATGTATTAAAGGAAGAAAAGGCCACAGTAGCAATCTTCTTTATACACAGGCAAAGAGAGTCATATGCAAGACTATTTATAGATTTCTCCTCCTAGAAAATTACAATGTAGGTCTGGCTTTAAAAAATGTTGATAGCAATGGTAATGTATAATACATAACTGACCTTCGCAAGGGAGAGAGAGAGAGAATTTTAAGATAATCAAAAGTTAATTGTGCCAGCTGATTAGACAGCTCATAAAAAGATGTCCATGAAAGCCTGGTACAGAAAGTCTGCACCGAAAAATAAGGCAGTAAATAACAAGAGAATGTGAGTCACAGCCAGACTATACACAATGAGCCTTGTAAATAAAAGATGCCAACCAATATGTTCTCCCAGTTTTAAAATGCAACTTCATAGTTTGGCAGTGAATTCACGAATTCAAAAAATATAAACACATTAAAGAATTTATGCCGAGAACGTTTTGCAACTAGTCCAGACTGACAAGGAGGACTCATTGGCGCAGTTTTCCACCTGCTTTTTCCTTTATTACTCTTGACATTTCATCATCAATATATTGAGTTTACCTCTGCCCAGAGAATACCATCTCAAGCATGCCATGGAAATGGCAATACCACAACTTTAACCTCGCTGTTCTGTTGGAGGTATTAAAATGCGTGCACTGAAAAGCCTAAAACATTTGTTTGGGAGAAACAAAATCAGACTGAACGAGAACAAATGATTTTAGCAAAGTAAAACTGAAAAAAATGAAGACTGGCACTTCACGCATTCTCTGCAATAGAGCTTCTGGCAGCAGAGGCAGGATGCCTCAGGGGGCTGGGAGAGACCTAATGTTTGCCAAAACTCAATTCGACTTCAAAATTATGCGCTTGCTGGCTCAAGTGCTAAACATGCACTCTAGACCTCAGAGCCTGCCTGCTTGGAGTCACAATGCCCAAAATGGGGCAGCAGCTGGCAGGTTTCTTAATGTGTTTTGAGGATTGTGAAGGATACTTTTCCATCTTGATTTTTTTTCATTATAGTTTCATTATAGTTTCATCCTAGGTATGAAAACACTGTAGCTTGTCCTAAAAAACTTGACATACTGTTTCTGTTGGCTGGCTATGGGCTTCTATCTTCCAAAGCGGCTGATAGTCTGTTATGGGAAATGTCATGAAATTAGAAAAATTCAGTAATGAAAATCCTGACTAAAGAAATCCTCCTGTTAGTTCAACAAAAAGGCAAATACAAACCTGAAATAGCCTTTCAATATCTCTCCTAGAAACAGGTTTGAAAAATGAGGCTTACATCTTGGGGGGGTTTAGAAATTGGGTTTTATTAGAATTAACCCTAAACGATATGGCCCTGCAATGATAATCAGTAAACTCATCTTTGAATGACTCATCCAGAAAGTAACTGACACTGCTACTCCATATCTGCTCCCAATAATTCACAAATATATAAGCAGGAAAGGTAAAAAAATATCAAAAGGCGAAAGCAACCCTGTCTTCCATGTTGTACGTTTGTGATGCCTCACAAAAATGCAAGTTTTGGAAAGCATTTTAACTTGTGAAATGCAGAAAGTAATTCATGCTACTTAGGAATTCCCCAGCCTTGCAGTTTAGGAAACAGTCGTTTCAGGGGTGTTTGGTATTAGCTATCATGCAAAACCAATTAGTCATTCAAGCCATTAAAAAGGTAAGTATCCCTTAAAAGGATGTTGTGCTTTTTCAAGCTTTAAATGCAACTGTTATAAACACAAAGACTGTTCCTGAGAGTTGAGTTAATTTTTCATTGCTTGTCCTAAAAGACTTCTTTGGATCATGTGTTGTAAATTCTTGATGCTCTTTTTGCTGCAGATTGAGCCTCTGATGAATTCTCGTCCTGTTCCTCGGACTTCTTCTGTTTTAGATACATGTCTGACTTTAAGAAGCGGCTGTAGCTGTCGTACTTCATGAGATTGAATATCTGGTGGGGGAGGACAAAACACAATGACTCATAGAAAAGGAGAAAGGAAAGTAGGAGAGTTGTAAAATGGATGTGTTCTGTCAGCACTAAAACACATTGACGAGAAAGCATGACATTAGAATTGATCTACTCTGACAAGGGATTATGCAGAACAAGCTGTATTACAGGTAGTGGTTTCACAGTCCTGCCCCTTCCTAATCTGATCAATTTAAGAGTCAAACGGCATGCCACCCGACTGCCAGCTCTGCCAACTCAGCCTGAATGTCAGATTCACACATCAACACCTCCAGCAAAGGTTTTGCAGCTGGAATTTACTTAACAATTGTCAGGACATAACCCAGCTCCCTCCCACAACAGGATTGGTTCTGTTTTATTGCTGGTGGCTCTGCAAACTGAAGATGCCATGCGTCAGGGCAGCAGAAAGGCTGACTCAGAATGAACAGAGGGAAGAGAGCTATGGGGAAAGAAGGGACCTTTGTGCAGTTACCTTTCTGATTGTAAACGCACTTGAATATCACTGCAGAGCCTGGGCATGAACACAGACCACTGACACTAGCAAGAGCCTCTAAAATAAATACTGCAAACAGACAAGCTGTCAAAGTGCAAGTTTATCACAGATTGTAGTAGCTGGCATAGCCAATCCTCCTTTAGAGCGGCCAAAGCCTAATCACACACGCATTGTTGCTCCCTCGATGGGTGAAATCCTGTTCCCACTGAAGCCAATGGAAATTTTGACACTGCCTGGAGCGGGGACAGAATTTCATCATAGGTGTGTACTGAGGCCTCAGGTGTCTATATCCAAGAAGTGTACGTCTAATGCCAAAATTAAAAATACATCATAAGAATATTTCCTTTCATAGCTGCCATTTCAAAAGAAGCATTTTCTATCTGTTTTCCCTCTTTCCACCACTTTTTCACTTTTCTTTTTCCTTCCAGGACTGTTTCCTGCTGCAGAAACTCAGCCTCCCAAAATTAAAAATACATCATAAGAATATTTCCTTTCATAGCTGCCATTTCAAAAGAAGCATTTTCTATCTGTTTTCCCTCTTTCCACCACTTTTTCACTTTTCTTTTTCCTTCCAGGACTCTGTTTCCTGCTGCAGAAGCTCAGCCTCAGGTGTTTTCTCTCCTGCTCCACCTACCCATTTCAAAGCAAACTCCTACAACACACTTATATATTACTAAAACAACAGGAAAAAGGTCTCTGCTGCTCTCAGTTGTCTAGGCCCTGATGGTATTTAGGTTGGACTATAAAAGACAGGGGGGGGGGGGGGGGAGAGAAAAGACAACATACTGGAACTATAACTGCAAGCCATAACTGAGACAAAACAGAAGCATACCTCACCCTCTATGAGTTCAGCAGAGTACTCTCTCTGAGTCACACTTTATGACTGACTGTATTTTACGGTGCCCAAAATCACTAATCTTCCAAGAGGAATTTTTGGATTCTCAGCTGCCTCAAGAACTAAAGTTACAAATTCCATGTGTGGATGATTGAAACCATAGCTTTACGGGACTCATCTCTAACAGTTAGTGGAACTGCGGCTCACTAGTTCATAGACACACGACTAACTGCCCTTGCTTTTCCGAGCTACCAAAGAACACAAGCAAGTGGCACTTAAGCAACACATGTGTGCATGTGAGCTGTAATATCCTGTTCATTTATGAAACACACAGGTGCTAATGGGGTAACAGCTGTTCAGTTTTCAGATTTAAACCATTAAAAACCTCAATGTCATAATTTAAAAGCTGAGTGAACTGAAAAGGGTTTTGACCCAGGAGAGCTGGCTGGATGTAGGTCCTAGGCTTCTACCTCAAATTACCTAATGGAAGTTTTCCTTTTACCTCTTATCTGGGGATGACCTTCATGATCAGTACTATCTAACTAGATGGAAAAATACCTGTGCGGCTTTGTTGGTTTTTGCCCCCCCCCCGAGCTATTGCCTATCAGAGTTTCATGGACCAGTGTTTGGATGAATAGATCTCTTTTGTACAGGGTAGCCACAAAGCACCTTCTGGAGAAGACAAATACTGCTAAGCTCAAAACCCAATCTGGAACGGTCTGGAAATGTGCAAACTGTACGTCATTTCAGAGATGCTGTAATTATGTGCAGAAAGGGAATCCCCTCTCTCTCTCCCCAGCCAGCCCTGCAGAGAAGAGATATACTAGGAGAGAGTAGATGCAGCTCCTTGGTTAAACAGTTGGAAAATCACAAGGTCTCTAGGAACCACTTATGTTCCACTTCACCCAGTGTGAACAGCAGCCCTGGTGCCAACAGGGAAAACAAACTTCACGCACAGCCTTTCTCCATGAACCGTCTCACTGCAATCCTCAGGGCCACGCTTACAGTGAACACATGGTATTTCTGAGTATGCAGCACTTCTCCAGGAGCACTGCTTCTTACACTGGGAGCAGCGTGGCCATGTTCACGTGTGGGTTTGGCCAGGCCAGTTAGCCCATCCCATTTATTTAGCACCCCCTGGCACCACACAGATGTGGCTTCCGGAGAAGTGCGGCATGCCTACGTATTTTGCTCTGCAGTACAGTAACTGAATGTGCAGACATGGCCTAGCTGTATTTAAAAAGCTAAGTCTCATAAGCTGACCTATGGTTTGCAAGCTATGACCCCTTATAGTTCATACATACAGCGCTAGCAAAACCACCAATTCTTCCCTCAGGAGTGAATTATAAAACTCCTCGTGACTGAATAAGGATTGAAGCAAAAGGGCAGAGTTGCCGCTAGAGGACTTCCTAGCAGGACCAACCAAAGCTTCATTCCAAGCAATGGAAACCTGCAACAATCCATAGATGTCCTTGTTTAGTTTAACAAGTTTACAGACATTCTTGAGTAGCACATTAATTGGACTCTACCACAGCTTGATCGAGTGCACATTTTTAATACGTGCTTCCTTCGCTGTTCCCGTCTATTCACCCAGGCCTTGGCTGAAGGGGAGAATATTTAAAACCTCCTGTGCTTTCTCCAGTTGCATTGTCATGCCTATGTAATCACCTGCTTTGAACACTAACCTGGTTTACTGTGGCTCTTTCTCTTCACACTGAATTCACACAGATTCTTCCAGAAAAGAATTTTCTTCCTTGCGCGAAAATTGGCTGTTAGACCTTTTCACTGCTAACCTATCTGAAGGACAGCTGAACCTTTTGCTCCTCAGTTCACTTTAATATCCGAGAGATGCTTTGCTGTTTGATGGCGCCTCAGTTAAAAACACGATTTTAACAAAAAAAAGCTGTTTTTAATAAATACAAGACCTAGGAAACTGCAAACATCCAGCAGTCCTGAGGAGCAAGCAGTGGCCGTCCCCATACTCATTGGCAAGCTGCAGGCAGGAATACATTATTCCCTTGACTGTGATACTGCAGTTTAAAAAGATTGAGAACATCTACTTCCAAACTATCTACAACATTTGCCCAAGGTCTTGCATTGCTCAGTGAGCTGAAATGGGAAGCTACCAATGACCCCTCTCAAGCTCTAGAAAAGTCTAGATCTGTCCTAGAAGAACAGATCCAAACCCTTCTCAAAGCTATGGGGATAGTTATGACAGTCCAGGCCTGCTGCTTACAGCAAAGAGGGGGTGGGGGTGGGGGGCTTTTTGTCACTGTTTGAATCAAAGGGCTGCTGAAACCACGCGGGGGTAAGAGTCCTGAAGCAGACTCCAGAGACCACAAGGAAGCCAGAGCCAGAGTTCAATGGAATGATCATCACTAGGGACTTTGTACAAGTGAAGGCACAGAAAACTATGGGCATGAAATCAGGAATGTAGTCGTAATGGTCCAGAGAAGCAAGGTTTTTGTTTTTTTATATGAGAAGGTGTAAGTAAGGCTACACACACACACACGATATTTACTCGATCAGAAGATGAGGGTTTTTTCACCCCCATTTAACATGAAGAAAAGCCCTTTGCCTTACAATCAAGTATCAGGCGGTAGAGAGCAGCCAGCTCTGGGCCAAAGCTGCTGCCTGTCCCCCTGCTGCCTCTGCAACACCCCAATGCTCCCCCACAGCCTCAAACCCCTACTGCCCTCAGTCTCCCCCCATGTTGTTTCTCCCCCTCTGCCACACTTCTTACCTTTGCTCTGTGCCAGCAGGCTCTGTCCTCATCCTCGCTGCAGTCTAGAGCATGGCACATACTCCAGCCCAGCCCTGTAGCAGCAGTGCTGGCTCTGTGCTGCTCTATGGGGTGGGCTGGAGCCGTGCTCAGTGCCCCAGGCTGCAGCAGGGACAGAACCTGCCAGCGTGGAACAAAGATACGAGGGAGAATGAATTTAAGATGATCCTCCAATAATTAGATTCCATAATGGAAATTTGCAATAAATAAATAAATTTACATACATGTAAAATTACAATAAATGTATAAAATTTTCTGCGTATAGAACCTAATTATTGGGGGGGGGGGTGTCATTTTGTATATGTATAAATCTAGTACATATCTTTTATCAGACCAACTGTATGGCCGGGAGAGAAATGTGACCTGAAGAAGGGTGCTTTGTTCTCCTCTCCCAGCAGCTGATCCAGTAAAAGATATGGCATGCAATCGGTCAGTTGATGGGTTCCCAACTACCAATAAGAAAAGCAAGGACGGAAATTGCAGCCAGCTTCCCAAGAAAGCAACTGCAGTGGAAAAGGTAGGGATATAGTGTGGAACCAAGGGGCAACTCCTAAGTAAATTGTGGTTAGCATGCATCACTCCATATTTTGCATGCACCTCCTGCACATACCAGTGTTAGCAGAGAAGAGGTGTCCTCTAGCAGGATGGAGACTATACAACTATCCAAGTGCTAAGTTCCCTCCACCCGCTGTCCTCGCTTCAATCAGCTACATACAAAAACCTGGCACAAGACATTCTACAGTGTGTAACAATTTTACCTGGTCCTGGAGTTTTTGAAACATTAGAGGATGAGGTGTCTCCAATATTGTCTCATTCAAACGGGACTGGCCTTCAACATTGACTTGGGAGGAAGCTTTACTGGACAGGAAAGTCATATAAATCTCTTTAGCTTTTTCTTGCATCTGTAAAATGACATATGTGGTTAAATTAATATTTGCTCCCGAAATATATATCTAAGCCAAGTCCATCTTTGAGACATGTAATGGGCCAATTCCTGTACTATGGGCACCATCTCATAAATGGTATACAGTCAAAAGAAAGACAGCGTGTAGCAGGTTAGTCATTTTATTTGTTCTTGAGATTTTCAAGGAGGCTAATGGAATTAGTCACCAGATCCTGTTTGGGCACCGAACCCCAACAGGTTCATTTGAATAGCCCATCTTCTGCCTTCTGTTTAGCATTCGTTCAGTTTACGTACAGATTTATCTTTCTCTCATACAGAGATGGGGATTTTGTCTCCCAATTTATACTGTTCAAATTAACAAACAAAGCAGCCGAGCAAAAATTAGAGAGGCATTTACTTCTGAGGGCATTCTACATCCAGCAGTGAAGTGCACGTCATTTAGTTCACGTTGGAAGAAAGGTCCAATTCTCTGAAATGCTGAGCAGTCATTGACTGCTATGGGAGCTGACGGTGGTCAGTTGTGATGGGTTAGGTGTGGTAAGCTTGAGATAATTTATCTGGACCCGTTATCTCTATCTGCAGATGTTCTGTTTCAGTCACCTCTTCATAAATCACCAACTGCAGCAATAACACTAAGCACTCATGCAGCACTGTTCCAACTTCAAAGCCCTTTAACTACCACTGCTTCCACTGAGATCAAATGCAAGACTCCCCGGGTGTCTCTACACATGCTCTAGGGTGGAGAGTGGGGACGGATGGATGCTTTAATTAGAGTGGCTCTGAGAGCTGCTCTAATTAAAGCATCCTCAGCGTCATGTGTATTCAGCATTCCCGCATTTCAAAATGGTGGAGAGGGGACGTTAAAGCTCATTCAATGAGCTTTAGTTAAAGCGTCCCTGCTGCCATTTTGAAATACAGGAATGACGAATACACGTGATGCGGAGACTGCTGAAGTGTGCTAGTTAGCATGCTCCAGCAGACTCAATTAATTGAGTCTGTTCCAATGCATGCTAATTAGCATGCCTCGAAGCAGAGCTCCGTCACATGTATAGGTGCCCCCAGTGACTCAGAAGTCAGGTAAGAGAAGAATGAGCACAGCATGACAATATATTTTTAAAGCCATTTTAGTTATAAATCTCATCCTGGAGTTTTTAATTTTTCATACTTGAAGCAAGTGCACACCAGGAGGCACTGAAAGATAATTAGCTCTGAGTAACAGAACTATTCTATGTTGCATATTTAATGAGGAACAAAACTGACAGAACCACAAGTCAAAGGATTACATCTTTGATAGGAAGTGGGACTGAAGAGACATGCTCTTGTGACCAACAAGAAATCACGCATGCACTTTCATGTTTTACATTTCAGAATAGGCAGGCAAGGTTCTTTGGGTATATGCGATATCTTTTATGAGACCAACTAAATAGATGGAAAAAAGTTTTGCAAACTTTCCAGCACAAACACCCTTCCTCAATTAGATCACCCAGGCCAACTATGACTAGAAAAGTTACACTAGCATAAATATTAGGGCTGTGCAAAGCTTCAGTTGCTGATTTGATTTAGTGGAGACTCAGCCCGATTCAGCGGCCGAATCTCCAAATCCGAATCAAATCAGGAGATCCTTTAATCTCTCCGAATCAATCAGAACCCTCCAAATTGATTCAGACATAGACACATCTTGAACTGTTTTTTCTACATACCTCAAGGTACCAGGTAGCTCATGAACACTGAGATGGTGGGGCGGATGGACTGTCCTATAGCAGCGCAGGGGGGTCTCCAGAGTGCTCAGTAGCAGAGCCAGAAGTGGACCAGAGCACTTCTGGTCCACTTCCAGGTCCACCAGGGTCTCCCTGCAGACAACTGCCAAGCTGGGGAAGCGCAGGGGGCCCCCCAGTGCGCTCCCTGGAGGACCCAGAAGCGGACCAGAATTACTTCAGGTCCACTTCCAGGTCCACCGCCAAGCACGCGGGGGGCCCCCTGCATGCCTGTGGGATGCTCCATCTGCCCCACTATCTCAGCGTTCACGAGCTGCCTGGTACCTTGAGGTATGCAGAAAAAATATTTAAAGAGGTGTGTATGACCGAATTGCCGATTCTCTGAATCAGGATCGAATCTTCAGATTCGGCCAAATCGAATTCAGACAGTGATCCAAATCAACGAATCGAATCACGGTCCCCTGATTCAGGCCAAATCCGAATAGAATACAACCCGCTTCACACCCCCGTAATAAATATTGGGGTAGACATAATCATATCAGTATACAGGTAGGCTACCACTCTACCTAATTTCAGTTTCTGAACTAGAATAAACCCTCCTGGTAAAAGCATTCCTATACCAGTCAGTATAGCTTTGTCCAAACTATAGGGGAAGGGAATATGTCACGTCAACAATACCAGTAGTTGCCTTCAGAGACCCACAAAAAAAAATCCAGGGATGAGCAGGAAGGAAAGAAGCAATGTCAGTGATTGAGTAGATGGCACTCTTTTTTTTCCCCCTGTGTCAGCACTGAACCAATACCTGAGCATCATGATAAAGGAGACAATATGACTGCATAGGTTGTCTTAAAGACTTAAAACCAAGATCTTACTCACAAGTGGTCAGTAAAAAGTCTAACAGCACTTTTCACTAGCAGATGTATGTTGGACCCCAGACCTCTGGCTAGATTCCAGTTTGGATAATAAGTTTTGTCTACAGAAATCTCCCTCGCTGTTTCACTTGAACACACTATCTTCTTCATTTCCTTTCCTATGGTCAATTCAGTTCTCAAGCATATGTGGCTCCCAGATGTGGAGAATAGGAGTCCCAGATGCTCATCAGGTGCCAAACTTTGGTGGTTAACAATTGTGCATGCTGTATTGCTAAGCTCAGTTTGTAACTATTGTCACATTTTACACTTGAGGTGACAGCAGAAATACCTGAATACTGTGCATAAAATCTGTGCTGTGGAACGAAAGGTGCTATAAGAGCACATTTCAGAGAGGGGATTATTTTTTTTTTTTACTGAAACACACTGCTAAATGTTTCTAATAGTTGAAAAGGATCATACATTGATGGACAGTTATTATTTCCTATCTGTGTTTATTTTGGAAGGAAAGGAATATTTTAACATTGTGAGGCAATACAAAGTGACATACTGGGCACACCTATACATGAATTTAATGGACCTGAATTTTCTACACAGAACATTCAGGCTCTTTAAAGTGCTCCCTGGTATGCATCTACACATGCACCCCCATCAGGAGCAATTTGAGCCTGACAGGAGAAGCCAATTCCAAGCCTGCTCCTGCCTTGCTCTTCCCCCTCTGCAGCAGCCACGGGGAGCTCCAGGTTCCCCCAGGTACCAGCCCTGGGCTGGCAGAGGGAATGGGGGCTTAGCCCTGAGCTCAGGGGGAGGCGGGAGTGCGCTGTCCAGGCTCCCCACCCTCCCCTCGCCCCCACCGTCTCCATGTGGCTGGGAGAGCTGCCTAGGCTGACTGGAAGCAATTTGCTTGTGGTCAGCGTCTACACGTGTGGTATGGCGCATTAGTACATGCGCCATTTTTCTAGTACTTGTATCTATAGGTACTAGAAAACAGAGCATTAGACTAATATACTGTGCACTAATTGCTGCGCATGTCTAGACAGTGATGCTTTACTGCACATTAGGTTAGTCTAATCCGCAGTTAGGCATCTCACGTAGACGCGATCACTGTTTATTTACTTTAAAAGCATATAAAAAGCAAATGCCCGCAGCTAATTCTAATAACATGTTCAAGACTATGTTTAATTCAAAAAAGATCTAATTAAGTAAGAATCATAATTCTGAGGACCATATGGGTGACAGCAGAGCTGACTACTACAGGTATAAAGCTGACATCATTTCCTTTGAGACCCACTAAAAATCATACTTGGTTCATACATTTGCTCATTTTGTTTTTAACTTAAGTTTTAGAGGTTGATGATAAAAAAAAAAATACTTTCTGTACTATTTAACCTATTGGGGTCAAAGAGAACAGAGAAGCTTCCTAGTTTAAGGAGATACTTAAAGTTTTATTTTGCAAAATGTCTAGGGTACTAGGACAGGTGTAGTAGACTACTGCTAGGGCTTGTTGTTTTTGACTTCTTGAACCTGTGTGGAAGCCGGCTGCTGAATTATACCCAAGAATACTACTTAGCACTTATATAGTACTTCCTCTGAACATGTAGCTTTAGCTAATTAAAAGAAGTGTAACTGTAAAGAGACAGACTCAATGGGGAAGCTGTACCAGGAATGAAACTGCATGAGTCTTCAGTTCAGCTACAGAGGGGACTTCCAAAGAGGTAAAGGCAGCCTGTCCTCCCACCACCTTAGGTTGCACCTTTGCTTATTAGTGACTGAGCACCACTGACATAACTAGGCAGGGGCAACTGGGGCAAGTGCCCTGGTTGCTTCCTTGGGAGGTAGACAAACAATAGCTGCTGCTGGGAGCTGCATGACTGCAGTTGTGATCAAATTGGATGCAACGTGGCAACTGGAAATCACTCCGCCCCTATGCCCCAGCTGTGTCGTTACACTACTGCCAAGAACAGGAACATTTTAGAGCATTTTACGAACACATGCATGAAATTGTCATCCTGACACTACGCAGGCCTCATGAAAACCAAGCAATATACTACTGGTCAATACAAGAGGCCATAATCATAAGTATCACAGAAACTGTGATTGTTTGTTTGCTATATGTGGTACTGTTCCTTTACATGCCAAAACTTTGTGTGCTTCCTCAAGCATCATTTTGCCTTCTGTCTGGGTCCTGCTCAGAACAATAAAGTAACCAGCCATGTTTCCTGTATGGTACTCCTCTTCCCTGTGCTAGATATAACAGAAGCATGCCAGTGCTACCTGCAAAAAAGGACTGAACCCACTTGGACCCACATACAACGCTGCAATAGTTTAGATAAAACAATGTAAGATTATGAGGATCCAGGATTTTGTAAAGGAGGCACGGGAGCAGCAACTCGAGCTGCAGAGGTGGTACCCCCACAGCCTAGCAGAGAACACTTGGGGCAATGAGCAAGGAAGAGGAATCTGACTGCTGCTGCCACTGTCCCCAGCTGAGCTCCCTTTGGCTGGAGTAGTTCAGGAGTGGCTCTAGAGCTTCCCTCACCCCTGGGTCAGCCGAGGGCAGCTGTAACAGTAAGGCTGATCACTTCCTCAAATGTGGTTTGGATTGCTTGGTCCATAGGGGAGGCCATACTGGACAACAACTATGTGACCAAAAGCTCAGATACAATTTTTAGTTCTGTTGTTAAATTCAGTTCAGAATTTAAGCATCCTATCAATGCAGTTACAATGAAAAGAGGATTATAAAAGCTGTATTTGGAATATGGTCCTTTGTTAGCACTGCAGAAAAATTAACTACATCACCATCGTATTACAGTGAATTGCTGCAGAAGTCATTTTCAGGAGTTCCATGCTCTTATAAGAACTGTAGAAAATGATTTTCCATTTTTTAACATTCCTGTTTAATCCTGTAGAAGACTCTAAAATAAAGCCATGCAAAAGTCAGAGCTGTAAAAGCTTCTTGCAAATCCATAATGTATTGTGAAGTATATGCTGTTCTGAAAGTTTCCTGAAGCTTTGCTAGTATTAGACTATTGACTGAATATAGTACCTAATGATTAGTACTAAAAAATTGAAGCTAATGGGAACCAGTTAATCACTGTCCATTCAGCATGGCAATCCATCTGAGGAATCATTGCATCAGTATCTTTACACATTTATCATTTCCTGTATATGGGTACACAATCCCAAAATAGCAATGTAAAGGTAAAAGTACTCTGATTACAGTATTTAATAAAGGAAAAGGGAGTTGTTATTGCACAGTGAAATATGAAATCCTACATAAGAACTTCTCATTTCCAATTCCCTTTTAGTATCCAACGTGGTACCTGTTTAAGAAACAGAATTTTCTAGCTCCTGGGAATGGCCACTGTAATCTATCCAGGCGCATCTGGCCTTAAAAGAATAGGAAGAGAGTAAGCATTTCTTGACACCACACTCTACTTTTTACACATAGTAGTAGCCAGATGATATTGTGCACAGTAGTACTTGGTGGGTGCTGACAGACGTGCAGCTCCCCAGTCTAATTCATGGCACTTCACAGAAAGCACCATGAGTTAGATCAATCCTCCCGACCCAGACATTAGCTGTTGGGTCAGAAGGGTGGGGGATTGAGCTCCAATTTGGAGCTGATCCAGCCAAGGAGCTGTGTATCTGCAGATTCTCTCCCCTAGCCCTGCCCTCCCCTTGTAGCTCCAGTGCTCTCTGCATGATGGGAGTGGGATTTGCCCAGCCTGTGCTGGAGTGGGGGTGGGTGGATCCACCCCCTGCAATGCAGGCTGCGCAAACTCCAGCCCAATCCACCCCCTGCAATGCAGGCTGCGCAAACTCCAGCCCAATCCACCCCCCGCAATGCAGGCTGCGCAAACTCCAACCCAAGCTCCTTCCTCTCCCTTTCCCATTGTGCAGACAGCACTAAGGCAAGGCTGAGCTGCTCCAGCCCAATCCACCCCCCGCAATGCAGGCTGCGCAAACTCCAGCCCAATCCACCCCCCGCAATGCAGGCTGCGCAAACTCCAACCCAAGCTCCTTCCTCTCCCTTTCCCATTGTGCAGACAGCACTAAGGCAAGGCTGAGCTGCAGCAGCCCAGCTGCCAGAGCAAACACAAGTTAACGAAGGTGCTTTGCTTTGGAGCACCTTCCTTTGAACCCTCACATAGTGAGGGTTAATTTGTCACATGCTCAGGGACCTTTAAAGCGTTCTACAGCCGGACATGGCTGTGGAGTGCTTTCAAAGGGCCAACCATGTGACAAATATAACTTCTGTTTGCACCCTGTGTTAAAAGAGCTGAATTGCTTCCAGGACTGATTTGTAATACCAAGGGGCTAGTTTCCCTCTTGTACTAGCATCCTGATAGTAACTGAGCACCTCTCATGTATTTAAGATACATGTAACTACCTCTCCCTGCCCCTCCTGGAGAGGTAAAATAGCCCAGCTGGTCATTTCTGTGTTGGAGTATGTATGTGTCCATGTCTGGTTGCATGGACCTTACTGGGAGGAAGCCAAGCCAAAGGACACAGAGCCCATGCAGTTCTAAGCATGCTGAGATCTGGAGTAGAACAATGAATTTCCCTCCCTTAAGATTTTTCTTCTAGAAATTCAAATACCAAAATATATACACCATGTGTGTGCATGCGCATGTGCATGCACAGGTGTGCTAACACCTGAAGTAGTTTGTTTCTTAGCTGAACTGTTTTGGATTTTGGGTAGCTGTTTTTCAGTTAAAAATCCAAAATATTAATTGAAAACAGGCATTTACCACCAAAAAAAAAGACCAATATCTAGAGTACACCCTCTAATACTTGATAATTTTATGCTCCCAAAAGATATGGCCAGGAGGCTGGGGATATGACTAGACCCCGCTGTAATCTCCTTGTAGCCATCAGAATACTTACTATCAGTTGCATTCTACATCTGCATATTCCCCCTCCCTAAGTGCTCTGCCACCAACAAAGCCAAAATTTAGCTTTTAGAGTGCTTGTACTTGTGCTGGGAGGCTGCACCAACGCAGTGTAAATACAGTGCATCAGAGCAGACGTGATTAATTGAGTCTGCTGGAGTGTGCTAATTAGCGCACTCCAGCCAGTCTCTGCGTCTTGTGTTTCAGCATCCCCACACTTCAAAATGGCAGTGGGGGCACTTTAACTAAAGCTCGTTGGATGAGCTATAGATAAAAGCAACCCTGCTGCCATTTTGAAGCGCAGGGACACTGATACACAAGATGCTCCAGGCACTTTAATTAGAGAGGCTTTTGGAGCCGCTCTAATTAAAGGCTCCCCCGCCCCCCCATCCTCAGAGCATATATAAAAATGCCCATAGTGTACACAGGAGAATTGTAAACATGGGATGTTCAAAGGGGATTAAAGAAATTAGACACTAACGCCCATCGGCACTGAAATTCGGTAGGAATCTGGCACCCAGCTCTTTGGAATTCCCTTAGCCAAACTTGACAAGTCAACTGTCAAAATATTCTCAAGAGTAATGAATAGAAATCGGGCGTGAACTCCACATCATCATCATCATCCATTCCTAAAGCTGCAAGCCCTACGTCCATATGAATCCTGCAAGAGTGGGACCTATGTAGTACAGGCAGTTTTTATGAGAACTCATCAAAAAATGTCTCATTGAAATCGAAATGAAATCTATAGTGCAGAAACGTATCAGCATGTCATCTTCAAGGAAACTTCTTAATAGGAAAGAGTCTAAGGTGAATCATTTCAAGTTTCTTGTTTCACACTGATGTCAGATAATTTAACTTTGATATGAGAACAAGCATCTCATTTCAACTCTCAATCTTTTTTTAGCATTTGCATTCTATGAAGTTACTGAGGTCTATATTTTCCTATATTTGTATAATACTTAATAGTGCATGTATAATCATTACATTAAATACAAGTAACAATGTTTCAACGTTCAAAAACGTCTTTTTACTTTATCAAAACAGAACTGATTCATCATTATTGAAACAAAACATTTCCATAGCTGCAGATCACAAGTTTTTGGAATTTTTGTTTCACATGAAATTTGGTATTTTCAGTTTTGTTTTGTTTTCATTTGGACTGGAAAAAAATGTTTTGTAACAGCAATTCTGGTTTCTAAACCGCTCTCGTTACAATGATTTATGTACTCACTTGTTCGATATATTTACTTGCCTCTTTGTGAAATCCAGTTGAATAACTAGGTAGAAGAAGTCAGATTCTCTTAGGCTGCTATGAGATCTTTTTTGACAGGTAAAGTTATTCTGAGGGACATACCTGTTTCTTATCTTGTGTTTTCTTAAATTCTTCACATGCTAACCAGAACAAAACGTTTTCTTCACTAAATTCTTTCTTTAAAAATTCCTGGAGAAGGAAAAACAGGCAAAATGTTACACTTGATGTCAAATGTTTGTTTCCCTTCCTGCTTTTCCCCTATTTGGGGTTGGTATCACCTAAATATTGCTGGAATATAAGCAAGCAATAGTGCTTTAAAATGTAACACTTTAGCTAGGGTTACTAGTAACTTATATCAGTAGGTAATATAAAGAATACATTTATAACCACTAAACTACTCAAGCAATTTAAAAGCGTCATTCAAAAAAATGCATGCACTTTTTAGCAGGAAGCAAAAAGATGTTTTAATGAGCTTCACAGATTACTTTTAATTCTAGTCTACTTTCAGTACAACTTTCTTTAACAACCAAAAATCTAAAAATTGAAGTGTTTCTAAATGACTGTCAGTGACAATAAATTTATTTAATGTAAAGTACAGCATAAGATGTATTTAAATTTCCTAGGCAGTGTTTAAACAGAACACAGTCATGTTTTAAAACAGAAAAAAGATATATTAAAATTGTGTATAAAAGCAACAATATTTATAGTTTTGACATACACAATTTTCATCTTCCAATGTAAAAGAAATAATAACGCATAACATTATATGCTGGTATCAATCATTCTAAATTTGAAGTGTCCAATAAGTGCTAAGCAATCAAGTTGTTTCATCAGTATTTTCTTCTCAATCTAAGGACTAGGTTCTGAAAATCTTTACTTAAGCAAGATTTCCTTGTTCTTATTTAGGCAAATAATCTCACTGTGTACTGGCATAAAGGATTTGCAAGACCTAACATGTCACCGTTACACACATGCCAGATCTCTATGATGATCTGTATGGGCAGACTGCTGCTCCCACCTGGGGCTCAACCAACACTGGGGTCCCTGACGCACATTATATTTATGCTGCAACTAACCTGTTAATTGTGCCATAAATAAGCAACATGCCACCCATTCAGCCAATTTATGGCACCATCACAAAGGTATTCCACATAAAATGGAATATCTAAAATGTAGAATAAATGTGGAATAGTGCAGGAACTGAATGTGTGGAACGCCCTAAGGGAGCCCCAGTGCAGAGGCTACATCTTACCAAATTACTCAAGCTCCATAGCAATCAGTGGGACTCTTCACCTGAATAAGGACAATGTGCAAGAATACATGCTGCAGGATCAGGCACCAAGAATGCATGCTACGTTACATTTTTGAGAAAGTCAGGCTTCTTTCTGCCCTGGTATTTAGCCCACTGTTATGTTTCCATCCTTCGACCTTCTGGCATTAGAAAACAAATGGCAGACAAAGAACGCAACAAATGTTTTCTGCAAATGGCAGAAAACAAATGTCAGACAAAGGTGCAACAAATAATTATTCCTGCAACCTGACAATGCAACCCGAAAAACTAGCAGGCAGAGGACACCCCCAGAGAAGCCCAGCAAATGCCCCTATTCAACTATCCTGCCATCTCTGTCAGTTCACAAATCTGGTCATATAAAAATAAACACCCTCCCGCCATTGGTATGGAGCTTTTTTAATACAGTTACACATAAAGCCTCAAGCACAGGTTAAAGTTTATGCAAATGCTAGGAGTCAAGATAACAACCCTAAATCGTTTAACTCCTTCTGGGTCCTCTAGGAGGTTCTCCAGTGACGCAGCCCATCTGGCGGTTCCTTTTAGGGCCTGGTGGCTGCTGCTTGGGTTGCCGTCATTGTCATTTATCTCTGAAAAAGACACATACCAAAATTAATAAAAGGTTAGCACTGCATTTTTTTCTTACCGTTCATAGCACTCTTAAATTGTACCTGCTTTCCTACAAATGGATGTAAAACTGAAAACAAACAGGGCTTCTGAAATTCACTATCTTCTTCAAGAAATGTCAAAGTTGCTTGATAGCAACGAAACTCCAAGTGGCTACTATCATCATTTTCAATGGATCCTTTTGTCTTATGGATGTGAAGCACAACTACCCGGGCCTCAGCTGTAAATGGGCCGCATGGTGGCTTCTGGCATGGCCAAAGTCAATCGGGTGTTTTAGATCACCCACGCCGACGTGGTGATGAAATCACCACCACGTGGTATGAAACCAGTCTTGGTAAGCCACCTTGTAGAAATTTCCTTTAGAAATGAGCACTCTCCGAGGTGAGTGGGGGAAGCGGAGGGGGAAAGAAAAGCGATGCTTTGTTTAGCAGAAGACGACCCCTAAAAATCAAGCCATGTGACCGGGAGGTCTGCTGGTGTAGTCTCCTCTAGTCTCTGAGTGCGAACGCCGTTGGCTGATGATGCTTGTGATCTTAAGTCAGCTGGGGTTTTGCCTGAATAAGGAGTGCAGGATCCTGGCCAGGACTTCTCTGCTAGCCAGAGCTCTCATAGATGTCATAGAGCCTGCGGGGCAGAAAGAGCCCGCATAAATGCTGAATGCATAACTGACTGCCTTGTGCCAAGGGATGAGTTTATTAAACCACTGGCTGCCAAGGCCAGCTGTGCTGGCTACCAATTCCCAGCTTGAGAGGAGTCCAAGCACATTACTGCTGACCCGAAGAGCTTTAAATAAACACAAAGCAACTTCCCTTGCTGCACACCCAAAACCCTCAGTCAAGTCTTTGGGAGCCTTAACCGTGCAGGATGAGACCTGAAACACTGTTTTAGATCACTGGATGTTAATGTGGTTGTGAGGCCAATTACACATTCTTTGTACAGCCAAAACTCTCCACTGTAATCAGTAAAACCTTTAATGAAAGTATCTGAATATATACAGATGGGTTGGAAGCTACATCTCTAAAGAGCAAGCCTGCTAGGACAGACAGGAAAGCTTTTGGGTGAAAGTGATTTTCACCTAAGTAAACCACTGAACGGCAGCAGGATCAGTCATGAAAATAAAATGAACAGGATTAGGCCTGTATTCTGTCTGCAGTTTGGCCTTTCATTCATACCAAATTGACGTGTTTGCTTTACTAAACCCTTTGTTTCACCCGAATAAGCAGTGTTCAGAAATGTGGATTCTTCAATACGTATTTGAATTCTACTCAGACAGAGTCAAAAGCAGAGCAGATGTCTAAAAAAAATAATGCATGGCGTACAGTAACTTTGTAAAGCCCTCAAACACCAGCAGATGGCTAGAACGATAGACGCCAAGAGTCAAATCCTGCAGAAAAGCCTACTTAGCTAAGTGCCTGTAGCCTGCTGGAGGTCTATGGAAAAATTTTCTTTTCTTATCGAAAGGATGTCTTGTTCTGAAAAGATAATAACCTCATCCACCCGCCACAAGTTGTCATTGCAGGAGTGTCCCTTTATGAAAGAAATACAACTCTGCAAAAGGGTCAGATGAGCTCCAACTGCAGACGCCTTCCCCCTATCATTGTTTAAGGGAAGGAGACCAAACCTCATGTTCCAAATTAGTAAAATGTTAAGAGAAATAAGATGCAAATATTTTTAAATGACCAAACAAGTGGACCACCCACTGTGCATGCACTAGAAAACACAAGTAAGCCCATGACTATGCTTTGTGTAAACCGTGTCTGTCCACTGCTTCCTATGGTCTCTCCTCCTTAGGTTAGAACTGATTACGATCCCACTTCTACAACTTTTTCTGCATGCATGCCGCTGTCAACCTGCACGTAAGAGGCTACAGGATTCGATCTCTAGACTGTAAGCTCTTCAGGCAGGGCCTGGGACTTATAATACTGTATGTATGAATAAAAAGAAGAGTTTCCCCAGAGAAAACTCATGGTCTAATGGGAGTAGTATAAAAATTTAGGCATCAGAAAGTTTAGCAGTGCTGTAGCTCTGATGCCAAGATAAGACCCTTTAATTTCTGTGTGACTCAGTTTCCCTTTCTAGCAAACATAATGTTGTGTAACCTGACAAATGTTGGTAAAGCACGTCCTCACAAGTACCTACCCACCTACCTCCCACATTGAAATCAGTATCTTTGAGGATCTAGGCCTTTGCAACCCAGGGCTGGAGCATGCAAACACTTGTACCAAAGACTGAGCCTGGCTCTCATGTTACATGGTTATTTGCAGCTGTGCACACGGGTGCATGATGATGTAACCACAACAAAATAGTATTCCTTCGCACAGAGGACAGGGCAGCTGAAAATCGGACCCCTATAAGTATAATTTACCAAGGGACAGATCAGAGTTGGATTCTATCTTCTTTACCCAGCCAAACTTCAAGCGACTTCCAATGGTTACTCATCATTTTTTTAAAAAGGACAGCAGAAGCACATAACTTGAGAGACAAGTGGTCGCCAGACACAAATACTCACATGTAAGAGGATGTTGAAATTTGACTGCCATGAGAATCCTAGGCTAGAGCTGTGCTTTGGTTTTGCTAAGATCTCTCCAGGACTCAGACTACAGACAAATACTCTGCCGGCCCTGTGAACGAGCAGAGAACAAAAAAGCCTTCCCCTGCCTTATCCCGCTCCTCAAGTGCTAGCAGAACTGCAAGTGTCTAGTGTCTAGTAACTCTGGCAATGGAGGGGAGCACGGCCCGGGCTGCCAAGCAGACCCCCCCAGAGCTGCGGTATTAAGTGACGCTAGGCTGAGTCCTGTGCTAGACTACTCTCACCAGGACCAAGCTACCCAGTTTCAAGCCATCTCAAGTACAGCCACAGCAGTGTAAATATATCCTGCATCAATACAGAGCTGAACCTAACAACGCTGCATTTTCAGTTGGTCTTCAGAAACGTCCGTAAGGGACACAAAAATAATCCCCCTCTTCCGCACAATTGTACAAGGCTGCACAAGGTACAAAGCAGAAAGGAGACAGGCCCTGAACATTTCTACTGATATTAGAACTACATTCGAGTTTCCTTATACAGAAATGTAATGTGTTCCCCCTACCGCAATAAACTGGCAATCACAAACATGTTTCTGATATAAGAATTGCCACCAATAGGATCGCAGCTCTCATCTTTACACACAATTACTTAAATCCATTTGATCTAGCAGGCTGTGCACCACACAGAGAATACTTCTTTTTGTCTTTAAATGGGCAAAAGGTTTAGTGCAGACCTTGCCCAGTAAAGTTCAACTGAGCTCACAAATGTCTTGAGAAAAAAAAAATCATACTTCCACTGCAGCAGAAGCTATATACAAATCTTTTGAATAAGTTATTTTTAGAACATAATGGCGCAGTATGTTTTATTATATGATTCATCCTCGCTAAACCTTATTTATCCCTCTGTTTATCATCATTTATAAAGATAATTTTATTTCCTTGGATGCCTCGCAATAAGCTGCTCTGCAGTTTACACTTAGAAACTGTGAGCTTAATACCAATACCTGTTATCCAAACCAAATGGGATAAGCTGCTTTTTTTTAAAGCAAGAGAGGAAGTTCTCTGCATCTGTTGCAAATCGACAGAAAATTATATGCACTAATACAGGAGTTACAGAAAGGCAGCCTTTTACTTCTGAACAAGTAATAGATAAAAATGTGCATTCTTTTTGCTTTGGCGCAAAACTCTCTCTTTAGCTAGACTAGGAAACAAACACATATGTATACAAGATGCAGTTGTACAGACTTTACTAGAGCGAAATTTCCCTCACTACACAATACAATTGCTTATATTACATGCAACAGCCAGAGGTTTGTACAAAGCTAAAGATTAGGCAGTTATGGTAATTACAGCATTATAACAGGGAGGAATCCTATTCAAACTCTACTAGTCTATACACAACAATATTGCATAAATAAAGAAGGCATATGTAATATTTAAGAAGTTCCTAATTATCAGATTAGATATCAGACACTATCGGGGTCCAAAGCAACACAGATTCACATTTTACAAAGAAGCGGTTCCACTGAATCAGTAATGTCCGATTCATCTATAAACAACAGCTACATTAAATTTTAGAAACAGAAATATCTAACAAGTCAAATGAAATGGTCAGAAATGGACCTTACAATCGCCTTTTATCCCCAAACATCCTATACTCAGGCAAACTTCTGTTCAGAGACATTCATTTGAAAGTAACAACTCATACCTTTGGGCATTATTTTAAAAGGACAGTGACAGACAGAAAAGATAGACAGAAAGCCATCAAATATTAGAAATGCATGTTCAATATTTCCAAAAATAAGGATGAGAACATGATTCAATGAATCAGGTGAGATTTTCAAGCATGCCTAAATGACTACGGAGAAAAAGTCTTAGTGACATTCATTAAAAGCGGGTGTGCCTAAATTAGACAGACACTTAAAAGCAAAAGCGCACTGACTATCTACACACGGAAGAAGCCTTTCCTACATTGTGCTTTATGGCAACATGCAAAACAGCACAAACCCATACACAATACTGAACCTTATTAAAGCAGTCACCTATTTTAAACCTTTTCTTGGGTTGGGTTTTGGGGTTTTTTTGCTCTTTTGCAAACTTACTAACAGAAGATCCATCGCCAACTTACCAGTCATGTATGTACCTGGATAGCATCTTATAATGAGCCTTTTTGCTTTGTTTCTACAGCTGAAGCAAAATAGCGACACTAGATTAAGAAAATCCTTTGCCAATCTTTACTTTTTGAATTAGGCCTGGTTCTTTCCGAACATTTGCGAATACTGGCATTGACTTCTTTTTTTTAAATAAGTGCTCTGAGCATATTGCATTTTCCTAGGATTACCAGAATGCCTTCCCTGTTATACTCACCAGTCTGGAACTAATAACCAACGGTTATAAAACAATGGGAAACTGTTCATAACCATGTAGCTATAGAAGAAAAATTCCCTTACTTTCCATGTATCCAATTGTCACCCGATCAGTCCCATATACCAACTTTTTCTAGGAGTGTTTTAAAGAATCCTGTTTCTACAGAGGGTCGTCCTTTCTACACTTTGGTATTTCAATGTTATAAGCCTCAACATCCTCTTTTGAATGTCTCTAAGAACAGATGGCTACTGAAGTCCAGTTTTAACTATAAGGAAGGAAATTAAAAGGATGTTCTGCTTTTGTAGTACCTCTGGAAACATTCACTATATAAACCTTTAAGAAACTCTATTAAAGCCATGCTCAGTTTTTCGCAGCAAGGCATTAACAAGCCTGTGCAAGATCATAATCTTATTGTCCACGGCAGAAATAAAATTGCTCGTTAGGATTCTTCACTTGTTTGTTTGTTTTCTTTAATCCTAATTATTTCACGCAGGACGACACGATACATTGGTTTTCCTGAGCCACTGATCCTGCTGTGCTGAAGAAATTCTGCTGCGAGACGTCCCGCGGTCAGACGCACTTACACTTTGAGAGCACGCCTGAAAAAAGGGCCATGTAGGGTTCCCTATTTGTGATGTCTCAGCGCTTTCCAGATCAAATGTACGGCAGTGTTTCTAAATGTCAGCTCTGCAAAGTCAATTTGGGATCTGAAAATCAAGCGCGGTTCCCTTTAGTTTGTGTTTCATCACCACTAACAGCCGGTGAGAAAGGACTTAGCATTTGTTGATGCTGTGCGTGCTGCTGGACATCCCCTTCCTCCTAGGGACAGCTGCTGAAACGGGAAGGATTATACTGCACAAAAAGGGCAGTTTATGCGTCTTGTGGTATCTGATTTAGATCAAAGCATTAAAAGGGGCGTAATCCGGGCAGTCCCACATGGGTAGAGGCCATCCCTATCAGGGACTCGGCAAATACACATGTTTAAAAGTGTCTGTGTGTGTGTCCCTCCACCCAGGTTTGTCCTGGAAGCTATTAAACACGAATTTAAAAGCAGCCACCCCCAGACCGGTCGCACCCAGGCAGCGTAACTGAGCCGGTGCCACGAGCATCACCCTGGCACCGCCACCGCC